GGCAGTTGTGTGACTTCTGGACAGGTGGGCCAGGGGAGATGCTAAGTGCCTGTTGTCTTCCCCTGCAGAGAGGAGATGTACTACAAGGCCGTGCACAACACAGCCGTCCTCTTCCTGCAGAACAGTGCGGGCTTTGCCAAGTGGGAGCCCACGCCGGAGCGGCTGCAGGAGCTCGTTGCAGCCTACAAGCATTCAGGCCGGACCCTGAGCTCCTCATCTTCCTCCTCGTCGTCGTCCTCCTCCTCCTCCTCCTCCACAGCAGACAAAGAGCGGGAGCTGGGCCGAGAGCAAAGCAGCAGCCGGGAGACTAATCCCAACTAAGGCGCAGAGGTGCGAGGCAGCAGGGGAGGTGCCGGCGGCCACAAGGAGGCTTGCCGGGGCAGTGGAGAGACTGCTGGCTACGTAGCACCGGCCCGGGGGACTCTTGTGCAGCAGCTCCACGGCACCTGCTTTCCTCTGCGAACTGCACGCCGCCCCCGCCCACGAGCACCGGGGAGCACCCGGCCACCGGTGGGGAGAGGAGGCTCGGCTGTGGCCCTCACCGGAGGGCAAGGGAACCCAGCGTGGTGCGGCAGGAGGAGCAGGCAGTCCCTTCGACGCCAGAGCGCCGAGGGAAGGGGCAGCCGGAGCTGGGACGCACACATGGGCGGAAGGATGGCGGGACAGATGGAGGGACGGACAGCAAATGCGAGTGCTCGGCGCCTAGCGCCGCGGCTGGAGGGGCCCCAGCAGCTGGCCACAGCCCGGCGCCGGCAGGAGAAGGGCGGGCAGAGCCCGGGGGCTCCTGCGGCCGGACTGGCACCAGCACAGCTCCGTGTCCATAGTGTAAATAGTTCTGTCCACGGCGCCCGTGCTCCTCGCAGGGCTGCTCCCATTGCATCCGTGTTTCTTTCCCACATGTGTGAGTCCCGTGTTCGCCGACACTGTGTACCGTATAGGGGAGGAGCGGAGAAGAGGAGTTTTCTTTGGTGTGTAAAGACGTCTTTGCAGCTGTTTTGTAGTCATCGTGGTTTTTATGCGGAGCCTCTGGGCTTTATTTAACCTCCTTGGGTTTTGTTTTGTAAGGATTAATTTAACACCGCTAACCATTTTATTACTTTTATCAAGAAGAGCAAAGTCTATTTTTGATTTCTGTTTCCTAGTTCTTAGGAACATTAAAAACCAGCATACAGCTCTGCCCCGTGTCCGTGCCTCTTCTCTGTCGGCCAGGGGCCTGTGGTCACCCCCTGCCCTCGCCTCTGTCTCACTGTGGCTGAAAGGCAGAAAAACGTTGGGTTTTTTTGCAGAACTATCTGGCATCTGTGACCCATTCTGTGCTGTGGTGCCCTCCTGGTGAATTTTTTTTCCTAATGACCAGCGTGAACCCCCTACAGCAACCTGACCACTACCCTCTTGGTTCATTGTCTGCCGCTACTGTGAAGAGTTTGGCTTTCCCTTCCCTGTAACGGCCCTCCAAGAAGTGCAGGCAGCTGTAATCGCCCTCAGGCTCTTCAGGGCAGAACCACCCCGCTTCTTCTTGCGTGGCCTCTGCTCCAGGGCTCTCAGCGCTTCGGTAGCCCTTTGCCCCCCGATCGGGGAGGCGCAGGCTGAGCCGTGTTGCAGGCACAGCCTCACTGGCACGGACTGGCGACCGGCGTGGTGTTGAGAGCGCTTGGCTGGGCTTTCCCGCAGGCAGTCCCTAACGCTGATCTGCGGGGGGGGATGCCCGCGGTGAGTGGGGAGATTTCCCGGGTAGAGCGGCCTGGGGGTCGATGCACCACGCTCTCAAAGCACAGGCCTTCCCTGGCTGGACTGGTCTTGCTTCAGCTTCCAGCCATCAATCTCGCCCTGTCCCCGGCTGTTGTGTTAAAGAATCGTTTACTACCCCCAGTCTCTTCTGGCCTAACGAGGTGAGGGCGGCTCTGGGGGTTAAAAGCCGTGGTAGTTCTCTGACCCAGCTTTGGGAATTTCCTGGCTTTACCTCTAGAGCCCCCGCTGCCTCTGGATGGGCTGCGGGCCCTGGAAGCCAGTCCTCCCCGGCTGGGTTTTGCTGTCCCAAAGGAAAATGGCTCCGGGGTGGGTTAGCATTGCCTGGAAGCCTGTAATCCTGCAGCCTTGTGGGGCTGCGTTTCTCGGCACAGATCAAACAGGTCACGAGGTTTATTAGTTAAAAGGCGGGAGATGAGGAAGCGCCATGAATCCTGGGTCTGTGCCACGCACATGGCGCTCTGTGGCCAGCAGTGGCCCACTGCTCTGCGGTGGGCACAGCCCAGCCCCACGTGCTGCCTGCTCAGCCTGCTCCCAGTATCTCCACAGCTCTCCAGGGATGCTTTCAAATACAGAGATGAGGAGATCATTGACCTCCTTTAATGACACTCAGGACAGCTGGGAACTCCGTCAGTGAAAGCAGCAGTTTGTAAAGTCTTTTTTTCCTTCATTATTTTGAGCCAAGGCAGCCTGCTCCTGAAGTGCAGGTGACCGGAGCCACACACTGGTGCTGGGAAGTTCAGCAAACCTACTCCTTGGTCAGTCTGTCCTCACCGAGTCCTTTGTCTTGCTCCCTCGGGTGACGGCCAATTACCTTGTTAGGAACTTAGTTGCAGGAGCGTGCCGGGAGCCAAGTCCCAGCGGCAGAGGCTGGTGGGCTCTGGCTCCGGAGAAGCGCAGGGACGAAGTGACAGCGGGTGGAGGGTCCAGTGAGTGTGGAGGGGCCAGGGGTGCGTGCCTGGGACAAGGAGCAGGTTCTGCTTGCAGGAAATGAGCTGCCCAATCCTCGAGGCAGCCAGACGGGCCGGCACGGGGCACCCCCACCAGCCCGATGCCAAGATGAGACGTGACACTTCCCACCAAGACACTCGGCGGTGGCCGTCCCGCAGCGCTCAGAACTGCTCGCTGCCCAGCCGAGCCTGTACCAAGGGTGAAGCCAAGGGCAGGTGACCAAGGCCGGGCCAGCAAGGGCTGTGCGAGAGGCTGTGGTGGTGCGGGCAGCCGGGAGATGCAGCTGGGAACGGTGGGGGGTACAAGCAGGACTGGGAGGGACGAGGTCAGCTGTCACACTGGGAGCTGGACGTTGCCTGGTCCCCTGGAGTAAATTCTTTCAGATTCTGCCAAACTTTGACGATTTGAACTAAAGGGCCCCTCACTAATGCGGCTTCGGGCAGCTCCAGCCCAAGCAGCTGCTCTGGCGTGGGCCAGAGCTGCAGCCCAGCACTGCGCTTGTCAGGATGTGGACAGTAATTACCTGGGCAGTTCATGGAGCTCAGCGACCAGGGTAGAGCCCTGCATGGAGGAAAAAAAAAAAAAGTAATTTTCTTGTTAACCAGCATAGACACCCTGTCCTATGCCCCGAGGGGGCTGAGAGCAGCAAGGCGTGACCCTGTCACTGACAAGGAGCTGGAAACCCCCAGCAGCGCCTGGGCTCAGGCGTGTCCCGGGTCGGCCGTCACTGCGTGGGGTCCCTGCCATCACCCCCACAAGCGCTGCCGCCTGTAGTGGGCGGTTGCTGCTGCTCTCCTCGCCGGCAGCGCAGCGGGAGGGAGGTTTGCCCTGTCTGCGCTGGGGAGGAATCAGCGCTGCCAACCTGCCTTCAGCCCTGGGCAGCGGGGGGGGGTCTCTGACAGCTGCTGCCCCTCGGGGCTGCTGGAAACACCCCTGCAAGGTCTGCAGCTGGGGGGGTTGCATTTGGCATGGGCTGGGGAGGCCCAGGCGTGGAGAGGGATGTGCCAAGGGTTCGGCTGTGCCCAGCCTGGCTCTGGCAAGTGCTGCGGCCCCCAAGTGCCCCTGGCCCTGGCTCCCTGGGGCGCAGGAGTGGGGCGAGGAGGCCGGGCACACGCTGGCAGTGCTGGGCGTTTCTCTGTGCCCCAGGATCCTCATCCTGCAGGTGACGTGCTGGGCCCTGGGACGGGTGTGCAGAGCCCTCCCCGCTGGACACTTCATGCCTGAAGCCGCTTCTTTCCCTGGGGCCGAGCAGGAGCCGCCCGTTCCCAGGCCAGGGAAGGGGAGAGGGTCTGCCCGTGCTGCGGGAGCCCTCAGGACCCTGCTCTGCGGCCGCCCTCTCCCCTGGGGCGGCATCTGCAGGGCCCCAGGGGCCACTGCCTGGGGGCCCCCAGGCAGGGAAGGAGCATCCTCAGGGCTGCCTGGGAGCGAAGGGGCAGCAGGGCTGCATAGAGCCGCACC